ATGAGGTTTCTCTCCCCTACGCTCACCAGCAGCAAGGCGTCGCTGAGAGGGTCAATCGCACTCTCATGACAAAAGTCCGCGCTATCATGAACCAGTCCGGCCTGCCAAAGTAGTTTTGGCCCTACGCCATGAACCACGCGGTGCGCGTGCACAACCTCCTCTCCACCACCGCCAACAGGGATAACCTGTCTCCTCACATGAAGTGGACCGGCTCAAGGGGAGACCCCTCCATGCTGAGGGTCTGGGGGTGCATGGTGCAATACCGGCCGACTTCGGCCACAATCGGCAAGTTCGTTCATCGTGCGCGCTGAGGAGTTCATCTGGGGCTCAGTCACGAGCACAAAGGATGGCTCATTCTTGACATTGACAGTAACGAAATTGTTCCTGCACGTGACATTCTCTTCTACGAGCGACTCACCCTGAAGCAGTGGATCGAGGACGAACGCCGCAACCAGGCACGAGGCTACGCCAACAGCGCCCGCAGCTTTGCGACTCCAGAAGATGAAGCAGCAGCAGTAGCACTGGACCGCGACGACACCGACGAACATCCCAACATCCCGCCTCGCCCGCGCGACGACGACGACGACAGCGACGACGACCCTGCACCTGGACCATCACGGCGCCAAACAGAGCCAAGCACCGCAACACCCGGCTATGAAAGCGGAGACGACGACGTGGTGGAAGTCCCAACCACCACAGATACCACCAATGTGTCAGGCCTTCAGCTTCTCGGCCTGCACACCTCTGTCTCTACTCTCGCACGGGCCGTGGAGCCAAAGAATCCTCGTCAGGCCCTAACCGGTCCTCACGCCAAGGAGTGGCGTGCTGCGATGGATGCGGAACTAAAGGCGCTGGAATCTCGTGACACCTGGGTCCTAGTCGATCATGCAGCAGTGAAGGGGAGGAGGGTACTCAGCGGAAAGTGGGTTTTTCGCTTGAAAACTAACGCTGACGGCACTATCGAGCGCTTCAATGCACGCTGGGTCGTACGTAGGTACGATCAGCGCCACGGCATCAACTTTGATCAGACCTTCACTCCCGTAAGCCGTCACACTTCAGTCCGGATTCTACTCGCCATTGCCGCCACTAAGCACCTGCCACTGCGACAGATCGACGTGAAGAACGCGTTTTTATATGCGTTGGTGGACGCCACCATCTTTGTGGAACAGCCGCACACCTACGGAGAAGGTGATCCCAGGGTCTGTCAACTAAAGAAATCGCTCTACGGGATCATCTGCACAAAATTCTCCTCGAAATCGGCTTCAAGCAGCTCCCACACGACCCGGGAATGTATCGCCTTCACTTCAGTGGCGACTACATCCTCCTTACAGTCTACGTCGACGACCTGCTGTACACGGGGACCTGCAACAAACTCCTCGATCAGTTTCAGGAGAACCTGGCGCAGCGCGTGGATATCACCATTAACCTCGAGGTGAAGCAGTTTTGGGGGTTAAACATCACTTACGCGCCAGAAGCAATTCATCTGTCAGCCTCCAAGTACGCAGAGCAGCTAGGGGAACGCTTCAACATCTCCCCGGCACCACTCTCAACTCCTAACCACAACCCCAGCACCAACTACAAACCGGACAACAAACCACTGTCACCCGCAGGGCTCCAACTGTACCAACAGCAACTGGGTTGTCTGCTGTTCGCTTCTGTTAACTGCCGACCCGACCTCTCGTACATCGCTAGCCAACTGGCGCAGTACTCTCGCAAGCCAGTAGCTGAGAACCAGCTGGACCTGGAACGCGCCCTGCAGTACTTCATCTCCACACCTGACATTGGGCTCTCCTATTCCACGCTGACGACGACCTTCTTCAACCTCAACGGCTACGTGGACGCAGATCATGCAGATGACCCTGCAAATCGACGGTCCCGAACCGGCTTCGTTTTTCGCCTGGAACCAACTGGGCCAATCTCCTGGAACTCGCAGAAGCAGGAACTGGTTGCCATGTCATCGGCCGAAGCAGAATACATCGCCGCGACAGCAGCAGTTCGCGCAGGGCCTGTACCTACAGGAGCTGCTACAGGAGGCGAAAATTCCAACCTCGCCTACCTTTCGCCTTCACTGCGACAACCAGAGTGCCATCAGGATCGCGAACAAGCCAGGTTTCGTGAACCGCACAAATCACATCGCACTTCGGTACTTTTTCGTCAAGGACGAAATTGACCAAGGAAAGGTTGACCTCGCATACTGCCCGACTACTGAGATGGCAGCAGACTTCCTCACCAAGCGCCTGCCACGTCAGCAGTACAAGCACTGCTCTGACCTCACCGGAGTAGTCAAGCGAGTCAGCTATACTCGCGTCCAGGAATGAAGGGGAGTGTTACGATGTGAAGTTTGATGAGAAGGCATTCCTGTACGCTGCAGGAGCCGACTCTACTGAGTACGAAGTCGAGGAGTCAGAAGAGTCGAAGCGACGCAGCAACCGTCTGACCAAGACCGATGCAGGCAGAATCACTTGAAGTGAAAAGAGCATGAACAGGTTCAAAACGGGTTCCCGCGCCGCACGGTTTGAATTCGCTGCAATAAGGGAATGTACCTCTTAGAGTACATGGCTAGTCTAGGTCTTTTCGTATTCCCCTTGATTCTTATGTAAACCCGATGTATGCATGCTATTATCAACTCAGTCATTTACATTCACTCTGACCTGAGATTCAAACTTCCGCTGCAACACTACTCTGCGATCAACCCTGAGCGATCCTAAGTTCCACTTGGGATTGTAACAGCCCTAAACCCTGAAGTTAATGTGAAGAGAATTTGATGGTGGAAATCCCCATCGTTAGTAGTTCGAAGTATATTGCTGTATAACCAGTTGTTCCTTGGTTTGAATGTTTGGTTCTACACCCCTGCTGATTCAACCCATTCACGTGGCTGTGGTAGAACCATATGAAAGCTGGAGACCAAGGGCGGGCACGTGTATGCCCTCATTTGGTCCTCAACTGTACCCCACGCCTAAGAACGAGAGTTGAGTGTCAGGGCATCACTTGTCCATCCAGCTAACTGTTAGTACCATACTGAGCTGTCCTGCCCAAAATGATTTTTGCGGGACCTCGTGGTGCCTCGAGAGTGGCTCGTGTGCCTTGCTTTTCTCTTTGATCCAACCAATCAACGGTGTTCCCTCGCCCCCTAGGAGATAGGTCTCCAATGCCCCTTGCCTTATCGATGCCGAGCTGGCTTTGGAACATTGGTCGTACAATGTCCTGAACTGTATACACACCACACCAGCCGCAGAAGTACAATCTGCCACTGTACAGCCCACTTACCCCTTCACGTGTCACAAACTCACAGACACGAGGAACCTTTGATTTGGAGGTTGTTCGTCCCGAGATGAGATTCGTGTTTGGGCTGGGACTGACACAGAGTTGACATTTCTCTCCTCTCTTCTCGTTCGTTCGTGAAACGAAACTCCACACACCACACAACCAATGAACGGAAAATTGCGAATCCACACCAACGGGTATTCCACCTGCTATCACCGCCTCTCCCACCCACAACCAGCAACACCTCCACTGGACGAGTCTTGCCAACCTCACTCCCGGCCCAAGGGCGGCGAGAGTCGCTTCAGACACGCCCTAAGCCCTTACAGCCACAACATTTCTTTCAGCCGTTGGGCGGGTCTTCCAAGTTTGTCTACACTGAATCCAAGAATGTTCGGTCTGGTTAGTAACGGTTCAGAATGGTAAAGTATGAGAAGCTCTTGATTGCTCAATATTGTACTCAACCGCTAAAACTAAACAGCTACAGTGAACTTCTGAGACCATCCTAACAGCCCACCCTAGCGTCCTAACTTAGGTCGTCAAACCCCGTCCTTCCAGTTGTAATAGCCAAGCCAGCTATGGTTTATGATCCGAATGGTTGAAGAAGCCTATTCTAATTCAATTACCGCAGTCCCAGGCGCGGACTGTGGTGGAATGCCGTGCACAGACTGCCAAGCTACAGTAAAATAGCAGCACACTTTGGCGTGGCGAATCCTCCTTTTCTGTCAGGCAGTTTTTGGGGACGAATCACAAAGCCTACTGCTCCTCTCTTTCTGCTTCCTAGCGTGCCTCCAGTCTGTCCGTGCCTCTATGCTTCATCCGGTCGAACGAACCTTAGAGGAGAATGGCAGCATTACGGCATGGATACCCTACCCAAACTAATCCTGTTGTTACAGTAATATTTTTGTTTTCCACATTGGCAGCATTTGCGTTCTACTGTATATTTCTTACGCACAAGTCATTAAACTACCCTTCTGCCACTGACGCTATGATAGGAATATGTCATGCTCACGCTGACATCATCTCTTAGTCTGAGGGTGGTCTCACATCGTTCCTACTGTTAGCCCCATAGATTAGATTCTGCTTCTGCCGCACGGTTTCTATAATGGCGATCAAATCGAATCAGGTCATAGCTCATCCATCGTATTAGCCGACGATACTGTATAACCAGACAGACTGGCTCTTCTCCGCTGTTTCGCGGCGTGAGAGGATATCGAGGACTGAAAGAATCCGTTCGGCGTTCCATCGGCCACCCTCGAGTTTCACGCCGAAGCGACGCAAGTATTAAGGGACATACATGATCAACCATATGTGCATTCTTGTTCAAGAAGCTCCTACCAGCTCCGAGCATTTGACAGGCACACAGGTTGATTGAGACTCGCAACCGAACCACCTTGAGAACCCTTATCTCCCGCGCGGTTCCTTACAAGAGCTACCGTTTTCCTGACCGGCGTCGTCGAATCGAGCCGGTGATTCTCTACGATCCGGTAGAAACTTCTCTCGGAATACTGCCTCGTAGGTATTCTCTGCCAGTACCACCTGACATTGGATCCGCAAGGACGTGTTCAAGGGTCAACATAATTCCAAGTCGTCTTGCCTGCACAAGCACAAGTTGTTCCGAAGAGCCGACCAGAATGCTCGCAGTCGCGTCATCGCCTCGCCGCTACCATGCGTGCAGGTCGTCGTCCCAGACTGCAGTCCAAATCGACGGCCCAGATCCGTCGGAAGGACCGGCTTCGATGGTCGTGATGGCGCGCTTCGTCGGCGAGTCGGGCATGCGGCCTTACCTGTCAACGGATGGTGATGCGGCGCCAACAGCTGTGAGCGACGCAGTCAGCGACGCCATCAACGACGCAGTGAGCGACGCTGGCTCGGAAACATTTCTCTTCCCCACGCCTCCGCGCAGCCCGCGCGAAATCTCCCGCACGGCGCTCGAGTTCCGCCACGGCCGCCGCCGGCACTCGTTCAGCGGATTTCAAGAGCTTCCTGCGGGGTGCGGAGTCCGTGGCGCTCCGGAGTCCCTGGATGGTGCTACTAACGGGGATATTGCCTATCCTGGTGCTACCAACGGGGATATTACGTATCATGGTGCTAACAGGGTTAACTGTTATCCTGGTGGTGAAGATAACACACGCAGTGCAGAAGAGCGTTGTGACCTTCCACGACTACCCCGCCCGTCTGCGGTGCAATATTCTGCACCTCTCGCTGCTGGCGCCGCCGCTGCTGCAGCTGCCGACACACGCAGTGCAGCGGTTCCTGCTGAAGCACGTGGGCGGCCGGATCAGATCCACGGCCCTAAATCCAACGCCATGTGGCCGAGAAGTCAGAGCCACTCCGCAGTCTTGGGCCAGCGAGATTCCAGTGATGGCTCTGATACCATTGGGGGACGGCGCCTGGGCCGGCACCGGCGCATACGATCAGTCGAAGCAGTGATGGAGACTTCTGGAGTGGCAGGGCAAGTCACAACAGCAGTGCCTCCCTTTTCCCCCTTCCCAAGAGTCTATCTGGCCGTACAGTCACCGCACGGGTTAAGAAGAGAATCCTCAGTGGAGAAGCAGTCGCAGTCTCCCCATGTGGCAGTGGCATACTCGCTGAAGACTCCACGCACTGGCCCTGCCTCCTTATCGCCGACATCACCCCTCTCTCCTCCTTCCTTGTCGTCTCCTCCCTTGTCCCCCCCACCACTGTCCGTGCTGTCGTCTTCAAAGCCCATCTCGCTGCCGCCACCTTCTAAACCTACCCCTCGACTGTCACGATCCATTCCTGTCACGCGCCGCTCAGCTTCGGGTCGTTCTTCTTCGCCAGACTCCTATGCACGGTTGAACTGCAATGCCACTTCCTCCACTCTCCCCACTAAGGCAACTGTGCGAGGAGCAGCAGCAGTGGCCACATGCAGAACTGTTGATCTCAAGGACATTCGTGTGCAGGCCGCAGGCAGCAGTAGTGTTACAAGAAGCACCAATGGCAATGGCAAGAGCGTGGCACCAGGATCACCAAGTCAGACGGGCTCAATTTCTGGTTGCAACAACTGCAATGCAAGCAGGTCCTCTTCGCCACAGTTGCCCAAGAACGAACGGCGTGTGTGCTTCAACAACATGGTGAAAGTCCGGACCTTCTTTGATAGCAAGTAGCCGCTCAGCGGACCTATTTTTCACTACTCTGATTCTCAGAGTTGTATGGCGTCCTGACTCCTCCCCCTGATGATCAAAGATACTGTTTCTGTTCTGCTGCTAGGACCTGGAATCATAGTGATGCAACCACTCGCTCAATAAAGCACAGTCCCCGACGTGCATGCATCAAAAGGTGTGCAGGCAGCCATTGCTGCGGGAACATTTCTCTGCTCCACACCTCCCCACAACCAGCGCGAAGGTTCCAACTTGGTGCTCGGATTCCGCCACTTCTGCCTAAATTCTTTCAGCTAGTTTCAGGATCTTTCTGGGGGTCTGCCTGACGCGAGTCTTCGGTATTCTTGTGTGTGTGCGTTGATGGTTCTAATTGTCGGGCTGAATGAAGCCCTCGAATAGTCTCGATAATAGGCTTGTATAAATGTATTGCACCACAACTGTGAATTCCTCTACTGGTAAACCAAGAACAAGACTTGAATACCAAGTTAATGTACAAAGAAATATATAGTCCTAGGTGGCTTTTCTGTAATTAACGTGCTGTCAAATCGAGCCTTTATCGAGCTGTCACTTCCTATAGGGCAATATTACTGTAGCGGCATGCGATTCACGCGTTACATTCTCGAAGAGTGATTGGTTACAGGGACTTCGGCAGCCGTAGTCGTGATGTTCTCGTCTGTGATTGACACGACGTTTTCTTGACTGAAGTTGACATGTCACTAGTACACCCTGTTTCTCACAACACTGAACTGTGCCGAACTGGTGGAAAACCTTGTTATCTTTGATATGTCTGATTGAACCATACCGAGACTTAATCTAACCAGAGTTAACCGTGCTTTTCCCATCTTGACTTCACCTCCCGAATTCAGAATGGCGAGAAAGAGGGTGTACTGGGTTGTTGAACACAAGAAAATTGAGATACTCAGCCGATGGGTACCCACCACCACCTCTCACAACCACCAACACCTTCCTTTAATGTGAATTAGAGCGTGTCCGAAGTGAAGCGTCGAATGGATGTCGATAGATGTCAGAAAATGTCAACCCTCGGATCGAGAGTTCTAACCGTCAGGATTTACCAACATCGGATGTCGACGGATGTCGACTTCACTTCGGACCCGCCCTTACCCGCCTCCATTCTGACTGCGGTGAACTGCCATGCCATGCACAGTTTGCCAAGAAACGGTACAGTACATGGAGCTGTACCTGGCGATCCGCCGTTTCAGTTGAACAGAGGCTATTGCTCTGTGCCCTTTCTACCACTTCTACTCGTTGAGGAAATGGGACTCGCCTCTAAGCCAGAACATCTGTACGTCAGGTTGTACAGGTACATCTCACACATTTACAGTTTTTGTACAGACCGGTTGTGGAAAGCGGTTCCCAAGTTTTAACGCTCTGCACCGTGACAAAACGAAGTTAACCACAGCGGGCGTGAAGAAGAATGAACAACCTGACATGGCCATAAACTTGTCTAGCGTTGGTTTAGCGCGATTCAGTGTCCTTTCGAGCGGTGAGGAAAATGATTTCGACAATCACCGCTCAACTATGGCGCACTAGACGGAACCAAGCCTCAAGCACCCTCAGGAGGAGAATGGCAAGCACGATAAATGCGCTGAGCAACCCTTTCCTGTATTTATTCTCCCGACTCGCAGCTTTTGCGCTTCCTGCAACTTCAATAATCCGGTCATGGAACGTTCTTTTATGCAAGCTACGCTATGGTCGAGATTTCCTGCTCAGGATTAGCGTATCTGAAAGGCGTGAGGCTGATGTCGCCTCGCACTGTTAGCGCAATAGATTCTGCTTCTGCCACGCGCATTCCGCATGGCGTTCGCATCGGATCAAATCCCAGGTCATCATCGTATCGCCTGTCCGGATTTTGCCAGAAATACAGTAACTACTCTCCGTTGTTTCGCGATGACGGAGGATTTTAAGGAGAGTGAGAGAGTGCCTTCGGCTTCCGACGTTACGGGGCGTTGGGCTGGGCCTCGGTCCACACGACTCGGAGTCGCGTGTTCTCCCCGAAGCGGCGCCGCCGCCACAACGTTTTACAAAATGGAAATACAGGACCAGCTGCGTGCATTCTCGTTCAAGAAACTCTCTTACCAGCTCCGAACATTTGACAGCCGCAGGTTGAAACCTTGCCACCCCGCCGATCCACCTTGAGAACTCCGAGTTTCTTCTATCGCGCGCGATTCTAGGTTACCGTATTCCTTACAGGCGTGTGGTCCACGAATCGGAGTCAGAGCTTAACGAGTAGCTGAGTGCTACGCTCTGCTTTTACCCTCTAGTATTGGTTCCGCGAGGCGTGCTCAAGACTCAACCGCCGGACTCCAAGTCTGTCCCTTTCATTTCAAGTTTGGAGTTGACCAGCGATCATGCTTGCAGTCGCGCCGTCGTCTCGTCGCCGCGACCACGCGGCGTGCGACTCGTTTTGCCCGACGGAAGGACTGCCAGTGGCGTCGACGGTCGCGCGGAAATTCCCGACACGCGTGGATGCTTCAAAAGCCACCGCCTCTGGCGCGCAATCAGTCGCTGGCGCGGGGACATTTCTCCGCCCCACGCCTCCGCGCACCCCGCGCGAAGGCTCCAGCGCGGCGTGCGGGTTCCGCCACCGCCGCTGGCACTCGTTCAGCGACTTTCAAGAGACCCTGGATGGTGCTTATGACGGGGATAATGGTTACCTTCCACGCGTGCCGCGCCCGTCTACAGTTGCTGCGGCTTCTGCAAATGCGGCTGCCACCTGTGGTGCTGTCTCAGCGTTAAGGCTTAACGCGGCTCCGCCCGCCGTTGCGTCGCGAAATTCCGTACCCCCCGCGGCTGCTGCTGCTGCTGCTGCCGCTGCCACGTCTCCGAGTGAAGCCATGATGCTGCCTGGTAGAAGCCGGAGCCATGGCTCTGAAAGCACGGCGCGACGGCGCCAGACCCGGCACCGGCGCACACGGTCAGTGGAAGCAGTGATGGAGTACTATGGAGTGACCAAGCAGGCCCTGACTCTGACTCCAATGGGGACTCCAATGGGGACTCCAATGGGGACTCCAATGGGGACTCCAATGGGGACTCCAATGGGGACTCCAATGGGCCAGGCTCAGGCCAGTTCAGTGGAGCAGGCCGATGAAATGACTCCCTCGCCCTCCTCGCCCTTCCCGCGAGCCTACATGGCTGTACAGTCACCGCATGGGTTGCGAAGAGCATACGCTGCAGGGAAGCAGTCTCTTCGTGATGCAGCTGCATGCCCTCTGAAGTCGCCTTGCAGCGGCCCCTCCCCCACCTCCTCTGCCTCATCTAAACCCCTCTCTCCTCCTCCTCCCCTCTCTCCTCCTCCTCCCCTCTCTCCTCCTCCTCCCCTCTCTCCTCCTCCTCCCTTGTCTCCCCCACCCCTGACCCTGCTGTCATCCTCAAGGCCCATCTCTCTGCCGTTACCTTCGAAACCCCCCCTTCGATCGCCAAGATCCAAACCTCGCATGGGCTTGCCAGCTTCAGCCCGGTCTTCTCCAGCCGATTCGTCTGTGCAGTTGAATTGCAATGCCACATCCTCCACTCTCCCCACTGGGGCAGCAGTGGGAAGAATAGCAGCACGTGCAGCAGGAGCTGCTGCATTCGCAAGTGCGGATCGTAAAGGCACCTGTGTGCAGGCCACAAGCAGCAGTACGATTGCCAGAATCACCGTTGGAAATGGCAAGAGCTTGGTTTCAGGATCACCAGGTCAGAAGGTCTCTATCTCGGGTTGCAGCAGCACCTGCAATGCAAGCAGGTCCTTAACTTCGAAGCAGTTGCGCAAGACAGAACGGCGTGTGCGCTTTAACAAGATGGTGGAAGTTTGGACTATCTGTGATAGCATATAGCCGCTAAGCACGGCTGTTTTTCCACTACTCTGGTTTCCAGTGTTGTGTGGCGTCCTGACTCCTCCCCTGATGAGTCAAACATGATGTTTTTAAAGCCAGGATCTCAAGTAAGAGAATTGGCCTTCAATTGCAAAACACTTGCAGCGCTTGTTACCCTATTTTTGTAGGCGAATTGACTGGCTGGTTAGGAAAGTGAGCGTGCTGCACACCCACGATTTTGCCCCTAGAGCAAATGCAAAACATTTTGCTGGTACATGAGATTGTTGTGTGTGACGAGAAATTGCAGGCATTGGAGCTTCGTCACCGAACCAGTTTCCGAGCCTTGCTTGGTTCGGACTGAACTTGCGATTTGTCTTTACTTCGCACCCCTCGCTTCACACCTCGTCAGATTGTTCACCTCGCTAACCAATCGCAGCCCAGCTCCCCTCACCAACTGCAAAACAATTGAACTACTTGAGATCCTGGCTTTAAAGAAAAGAGAAAAGACATTGTGGTTAGTTACGTTTCTGTTCCGATGTTACGAAATGGAATTTTGAATAATGTAACCATTCGTCCAATAAATCATTGTCCCCTGGCCTGGATGCTTCAGAAGCGGTGCTGTGGCTGGCGCGCAGGAAACCGCTGGCGTAGAAACATTTTTCCGCTCCACACCTCAGCGCAACCAGTGAGAAGGTTCCAACGCGTCGCTAAGGTTCCGCCATCGCCGCCGGAATTGGTTCAGCGAGCGTTAGGGCGTGTTCCTATCCTCGTATCAAGAGAACCTCATATCAGGC